GTGTGCCCTTGTGGCCAAGAAGGCCAATGGTCTGCTGGGGTGCATTAGGCAGAGTGTTGCCAGCAGGACGAGGGAGGTGATCCTGCCCCTCTCCTCAGCCCTGGTGAGGCCTCACCTGGAGTATTGTGTCCAGTTCTGGGCTCCCCAGTACAAGAGAGACATGGCACTCCTGGAGACAGTCCAGCGGAGGGCTACCAAGATGATTAGAGGGCTGGAGCATCTCTCCTATGAAGAAAGATTGCAAGAGCTGGGCCTGTTCAGCCTGGAGAAGAGAAGATTGAGAGGCGATCTCATCAACGTGTACAAGTATCTGAAGGGGGAGTGTCAAGAGGATGAGGCCAGCCTCTTCTCCGTGGTGCCCAGCAACAGGACAAGAGGCAATGGGCAGAAACTGAACCACAGGAAGTTCCATTTGAACCTGAGAAAAAACTTCTTCACTGTGAGGGTGACAGAGCATTGGAACAGGTTTCCCAGAGAGGTGGTGGAGTCTCCTTCGCTGGAGATATTCAAAAGCCGTCTGGATGTGATCCTGGGCAATATACTCTAGGTGACCCTGCTTGAACAGGGAGGTTGGACTAGATGATCTCCAGAGGTCCCTTCCAACCTAAACGATTCTGTGATTCTGTGATTCTGTAATAAAGCTGTATAGAAAAGCATCCACTACAGCCTAAACAAGTATGAATGCCAATTTTTTGTCCCAGTGTTTATAAAAATGAATAAAAGAAAATGCCACTAACCTATTATATAAATGACCTGCAACTATTTTTTTCTAGAATCCAGTTAAGTAAATATGTATTCTTCCTTTTTCATCAAGCAGATTATTAAAAAAACATGCTTGCACCTTTGAAATCAGTCTATTTCACCTGCCTGGCTTATTTAGTGAGGCTATAAATTTGATAATGCAGTTCTCAAGAGAGATGTGGGGGACATCTGGTCTAAATCAGAGCATTTCAGATTCTTGACTTGAAATTCTTCTTTACTAATCACAGAGCATTCCTGTGGTAACTATAGCAGTTGCTTACAGGGAAAAGAAACAGTAAAAGCATTTTATGCATTTTTAATCATCTTTTAATATTGTTTATCTGCCTGAAAACAAAAATGAAGAACTAGTGCTACAGGCCTGCACTGACATTAGCGCACTTTTGATTAGGTCCCATATAACTAAGAGTGCTTCCTCATATTTTGAGAACCTTTGTTATATTTCTCGAAGTTCAGGACTAAAAGTTAGGAACTCCAGATTTTAATAATGACTAACACTAACTCTGTAGAGCACTGTGGTAAAACTACCTTGACTCTTCCTCAGATGCACCACCTGGAAACTAGGGGCAATGATATAGAGTCTTCATGTCAGAATAAAGAACGTGAGTTACAGCTTTGTGAAAACCAACCTGGAGAATAAAAGCTAAAACATAGTAAATAGTTACCAGATTTCAGCGTTAGCTGCTCAGCTGTCCTAAAACCATCAGAGAAAACTAAAAAGTGTAGAAATGCCTTCTGAAAGTAAAACTGGGACTGTCATCCTTATGAATTAATACAACTAAACAAAAAATGTCTAATTGTGCAGGGAGAACACTAAATATATTAATTAAGCGTGTTTGCTGAAGAAAAGAGAAAGAGAATGCAAAGCATTACAAAAATATCTTCCTTTAAGAATAGTAAAACAGCTTGGCATTATTGAGATTTTTTAAGCAACCAAACAATTCAAAAAGTGCAATAAAATTTGTACCATTTCAGTTTACTCCATTACTACATTGCACAGGAGGAAGAAGAGGGCTTAGCTTATATTATGTGGATATGATTTGATAACAGCATAGGCCTTTTTAGATTCTTTTTTAGTCTAGGTCACTGAAACAAAGCATCTAAGATTCTGATAATCCACATTTCAATAACGTTCATCTGGGGGGCTTAGGTGAAAATTTCTCATTTCTGAGTTTCCACGGACACAAGGGGAAGGCACAGGTTTGAAGAACCGTGAACAAATAAAGTTTGTACCAGAAGGCAGATTTTCTTTCATTCACATTTGGTTAATATTAGTAAATAAGTACTGGGAAATCATGTGGAGAGAGGGTGGTGATGCTTTCTCCAAATTCAAATTTTCCTGAAATTAAGTATAAAAAAAAAAAAAGTGATTTCAATAACTGATGATAATAGAAGTTACTCTAGCAAAGGAAGTTAACTAACCACAAGATACAAGTGGAGTAAAACCTATTACAGTAAGCATGCCCAGGCAACAGTTCCTTCCCGCAAAAGATGGGAATCACAGGGAACGAGAAAAAAAAACTTTACACCTACTCTAAACAGGTAAGGAGAACAAGGATAACTTAAAGTAGATAATGTATGGACACTTTCTCAGATTGAGAAGCCCAGCTACTGACCCTAACACAAAGAATGTGAAGTCATTAGAACAATCATTTGAGAAGAATCTCCTTTGCCACTCTTATGAATAGCATAAATCTTAATTCAAGTTAATGACTTGGGGGCAAATCCTGGGGAAGAAGCAAATCCTTCAGGAAAGGCCTCTGCTCCATACAAAAGCAAACTATCAGAGAGTTTAGTGTCAAAGCCCTCTGCTGCAGTTGGTCAGACTGCCTGGGAAGCTGGGCTATAGCAGTTAATATAGCTTGTAAATGGTAATAGACTGGCAACCAGCTTCTTTCCCTCCATGTAGACTTTTCATATTTTCTTCTGGAGGATTTCAGAGGCCTGCTTTGAGATTTCAGAGGCAATGGATTTTTTCTCAGTGATAAATACAGCACTGCTTTACCTATGTATCACTGAAATCTTTCAGTGTCTCAAATGATCCAGTATTTGGCCCCCTGTGGTTTCTGATGGACCTGGAGCCATGTTTTCACTGTGCAAGTTCCTTTTCCGCAGCGTTACCTTTATGGTTCATGATCTGGCATTACAATGGAAAAATATTTACTTCCACTGGATTTTATGACAAACACCACATGCATCATCATTTTCATTTACCTTGCTACTATTAGACAGTTCCATTTGCCAGGTCTACAGGTTGCTGCTGAGCTGCCTCTAGCATAATTTACAAAGCAGTAACAGTCGTCTGTTGCCTTCATTGTATAAATTCTTAACTTCAGAAAAAAATTTATCACAAACAAGCAGTCAACTTCTTTCCCTATCAGAGTACTACCTATTTCATAACAGATTTGTTATTATCATTTCTACTCAGTAAACATGGGATATTCACTCTGAACTTAAATAAGAACTGAGACAATACTGACATACACGGGACAGCTTTTCCTATCCTTCACTAGAAGTAGCTTTCTTTTTGCAACATTATGCTTTTCTATTACTTTTCTCTTATCTTTTATCTGCCTATTTTTCTTTAAATGTTTAATTAACACAGTTCCAAATTGTCCAAAAGATGATATGTTTTCACCTTCTTTTTCTCCGATTTGTCTAAGAAAACCCACCAATTATTATGGTGTGGGGTTTTTTTTTGTTTTTGATTTTTTTTTTAATATATACTGCACGCCATTTCTTCCCTTTCTTGAGCAAATTAATCTTTTTTAATTTTTCTAATACTAGTACTCTCTCTAAACTTGATCCTTTGGAATCATACCATTTCTTTTCCATTCTCCTTTTAGAAATTTTTTAAACCATTCTCCAAAGCAATTTTTTTTAGTCAGTTCATCAGCACTGAGGTTACACATACACTGTCTTCCTCACATTTTCTACCTTAGAAAGTTTTCCAAGTACATACAGATTTTACCCCTTTTTTTGAGAGCAGTTTTTCCAATAAGCCATTTATTTTATGAAAAATGCAGCAAAAAGATCCTTACAAATTAACTTTAGTATCATTATTACAACGGATACAAAAATTTGGAAGATAAGCTAAAATATACTAATTGCTTTATTCAAATGATCCTGCAAAATGCCATATTTCAGCTCATATAAATGTATACTTTACCTTTTTTTTGGTTAACATTTTTACAGGAAATTAAATTGCTATGTCATATATTACTGCATTATAAATATTTAGGAAGTAGGACCAAACAAGTCCTGAATTTTTGTGTGCTTTTTAAGATAGGGGGGTTGTGTTCTTGAGGCTATTTTGACACCCTAGGAGCATTTCCGTTTTTTATAACTGAATAGCTGCATAAACAAAACTTAGCCTAGATCCTCAGCTCCCACTCACTGATGTCATTCTTTTCTACTGAAGCTGTTCCGCTTTGCAAGGCATAGTTAAAGATCTGTTAAGATATAAAGAACCAGAGTGTTCATGACACTGTCGTCCAGTGGTGAAGAAACACAACAGTGAGAAAGACAAGACCTGTGTTCCAGTCACTCTAATTAACGCTTCAGGCTAGGGTGAAGGATGAATAAAGGAGTGCACTTCAGAATAAAAGAGAACAACCAGGAACAGTCCACTCTTTCCCCAAAGATGATCAAACTCCTGTTCAGCTTTTCAAAGAGTATTAGCGTTTAGTTTCCGGGGTGGGTTGAAGCTTATGAAACTTAAGCAAAGGGAGAGGTACCCTGAAGCCCAGAGCAAAGATCAGAACACCTAAAAAAGGTGCTAATGTAAGGTACAACTATCATTCATATTACCTGTTGACTAGCACTGGCACCAGTTGACACTGTCAGGTGATACAGATATCCTTCACTTTTCCCAAGCTCCATATAGCTACTTACCGCAGTGCTGTTGATTTCAGGCACCTGAGCGTCCTTTGTGGCTCTAACCCAAAGTCCAATCTTGAAAATAAGATTTTGGCTTTTAAAACTTTTACCCTGTATGATCTGGAGGTCGTATGATGAGCTAGAAAAAAACTAGATACCACCTCTCAAGCCTCAGCTCCCCACAGTGATCACAGAACGGTTCTCCGCAGCACATTAATTCAGTCAGAACATTGACAACACCAACACAATGTAACACAAAGAGCTCTCCGGTTCATGCCCGTTTTCAAGACATGATCTTGCAGTGCACATCTACTGCCATCATGTTTATGTACATGTTTACACTTTATCTTTTCCAGAAATCCCCAATAAAATAAATCGTGGTGAAGTCAAACATCTTGCAGATAACTCAGGATCAGAAAAAACAGACAGAACAACAAAGAGATCCAGAGTGTCAACCATAAGGCGGATATTTGACATGGCAAAACACCGAACAAAGAGGTCATCCTTCTTCCCAACCGGTGTGAAAGTCTGCCCACAAGAATCAGTGAAGCAGATTTTAGCCAGTCACCAAGCATACTATAGATTACGAGGTAAGATGTGCTTCCTTCCTGAAGGTCTTTCCTTTCATTGAGGAAACATAAGATTTTTTTCAGAAGCTTGTTTTTAGCTTTGGGCAGTTGATACGGTATTTGCTTTATTCCTGGTTTTTATTTACCCGATTAATTGCTACATGTACATCAGCGTGGTTCGAGACACAGGCGATTATCAGAACAGAATAAAATAATGCACTCAAGAGACTAATGAGTTCAGTAAAATGTCATGTGCAGAATGTGCTACCATGGCAGAATGTGAAGACCAAATTTTTGTTTGCACTGTTGTGTAAAGACGCACCACCTTTCCCAAAGGTGTAAGCGGGTACCATGTTTGCTACTCAGAGGTAATCCCACCAGTTTAAGTCAGGTAACGAAACTATTCAGCTGTCATTGTATAAATCCTTTGGTGTATCTGCAGTTGTATTTAGTCTGTGGCAGTGTTAGCACTCTCCAAACATTGAGATAATTGTAGTAGCTCCTGCAGAGCTGTAGAGAGCCAAAAGAGATGCCACGGCAATTTTAGACCCCTAGAGAGCACAGTACAATAGCCCTCTCTCGCATATTTCCTCTCTTTCTCTTTCTCTCTCTCTTTCTCCCAGCCTATCATGCTGCAGCAGTTCCAATTTGTATTAAAAAAATTGCATATTTTTAGGCTGCAGCTAGGGAGTCCAATGCTAACTCTAAAACCTAGTCAGGACTTCTGGGATGCAAGTAGTCTACAGCTACTCCCTTAAATAATGTAGTTTATCTATTTGTTCCTCTGTATTAGCCTCCAACAATTCACATACATCTATGTTACTTTGCTGCTCCTGAGCTCTCTTTCATTGGAACCAACTAGTTCCCTCCAAAATGAAACCAGTGTGTAAAGCTAGGAAAAGTTGGCTCTAGCAGCCACTTCCTATAGGCGGTTAAGCAACCTGTACAGGCAGACTACACCAATGTCTGTAACCATTCCCATGGATACAAACATATTCAGATTCCAGTTAGGGACTAAATTCCAACTAAGTTGGGCATTAGATAGAATTCAGAAACTTCTGTCAAAGAAGCTGATTTGATTCTGTCAAAGGAGCCTTTCCTAAGCATTAATTAGACCCCTAAAACAAGCTCCCCTAGGGTGGTACCATGTAACCTGAAATCAAAGCACAACTATGACATTTTCATTAAAAAATTCATACTGATGCTGCTACTATCTTTTTTGGAGAGCAATACATTGGTTCAGAGTGGGAGAGTGTGTTCTCTAACCCTTCTAGTGCAAGCAGGTTTAACCTTAGAGCTTCTCTTTTCCGGTAGTGACCTACACATGCAGACTTTTCTGTATAGCTGTCATCCAGTTCTTCAACTGAAGCTCAGCTACTTCACAAAGAGGAAGCAAGAGAAGAGATGACGGTAGCTGAATAATTTGTATATTCATTCAGGAACAAGAGTTTCTGCTTCCTTGAATAGCTGTACATTTTCCATTAAAATGTCCTCAGAAAAAAACTCAAAAAAAAAAAAAATCTTTTCTTCAAGGAAAGATCAGAACCCAAGACTTATGTCCTCCCAGCTAAGCACACTAAACTACTTCACAAATGAGAGAGAAAAAAAAAAAAAGAAAAAAAGAAAGAAAGTGAAGGTGAAAGTTTGGCGACATAAGCATTATCTTTGAAGCTGGCCTTGTAACCACAAAACAAACCTTCATTAAAATGGTAATCTGGTAGCCACACTGGATGGAGTCTTATGGCCTACACTATCTGCATATCTGTAGCACAATCTTATCTTCATTTTGTTTTATGGACATAACTTCAGATCCATTCTCTTTTCCTTATCTAAATGCTAGGAGACCACTTCCACCTTTCCAAGTCCCATGAGACAGACGTTCATAACTGTAATGGCACCATGGATCACATTTGTCCTCTATAGAATTTTACTGCTTCCTAAGGGAAGTTACACAAAAATTTTGATATTCCACCATTCTTAATATACCTTAAAATGCTTTCAGGAGTGAGTACACAACATAAAGCAGCTGAAATATGAGCCTATCCAGTTACTATTGGATGACCTGAGCCTACTGTGACCCTATACCAACTCTGAAATAATACACCATGGTTTATATCACCATAAAGGCAGTCTCTCAAGTGGGGCAACCTAAGAGCATGTACAGAGTCAGCTACAGCATCTCCTCAGCTGGCCATGTGTCTTGTTTATCTAAACCATAATAATTGGATTGCTTTTCATCAGATATTATATCTTTTCTCAGTAGCTACTGTTCAGAAAAACAAGATACTAGGAAAGTAATAAATGACAGAAAGATGACAGAAAGTAGTCCTAACTGCTAGCTGATTATGAACAAATTCTCCCAAAAGACAGCCGGTTCCTTTTTAAGACTCTAGCCACCTCTGTTCCACAAAGAGCTGCTCTACTGGGAGGGCAGGTGGCTCCTGAGTTAGTTTTGAGGGGCCCTGACACAATTGTATGAGTATATCCCTACAGCAAGTCTGGAGAATATCCATTCCTAAACACTGATTACATTAATTTCAAGCAGTGATATTTTAGATAACGTAGATAATTATATCATCCTAAGTCAAAGCAGGTATCCAGTACTGAAAACAAATGTTCCACTTCACAGTAATTAACTATGCAAAATAAAGTTCTAAAGGCAACAGCCTTTAAATTGCTGGGAAATTTTTTGCTAAAATTATTTTTCTATTACGTTTGAAAATCTCCTTCTCTAAAAGTATCTTAACGTGAAAGAACAGTTTGAAGTCTGTTCTTTCATTTTGCTTGAGTGAAGATTATCCTTTAACAAAGCCTAAGTTCCATCTAGCTTTGTTGACGCTAAAACTACCAAACAGAGGAATCAACAAGTAATGGCAGAAGCAGTCATCCATTAACAGGGAGGTAGAGACTTCAGCAAGGAAAAACAACAATGTCAAACTGCTGAGTTCATAAATCCAAGAACTAGTTTGTATTTCAAGTAACATTAGAGCTGATATTGAAGCCTTTAATATTTAACCGTCACAACCATCACTAGCAAAGACAAATCCTTTCACATCAGACTTGAAGACTAACTGTTTTGTAGCTGCAGATAAACTGAACTGATTCTGTTCAAAACAGATGGGTTCTAACAGGCACAGAGCCACGTTTGTTATCCTTCAACATCCAAAGTTACAGGTCCTGCAGAGGACAAGCCACATAAGTGTGTATTTCTGCGCATAAGCAGGAAAGTTCACACAGAACTGCACTTCCTGGCTTGAGTCTGTGCTAGCCTGAGGATCTCTGCAGCAGTCAGTGATTTCAGACAGAATCCAAGTACAGCCAGGATTCATTCTACATTTAGTATAAGGCTGTGCAAAGTAAATTATGTGAAACTCAAACATTTTAGGTGCAGGAAAGGGCTGGTATCTGGACATGGATCTGAACACACATCAGTATAATTAATCAGATAGGCAGTACCTGGCTGGAGATCCCTAGATCAGTTTATCTTCCAGAGTCTTTTAGAATTAGAAATGGTTTAAATTTACAAAAAAGAGGAAACTTCAGCAAGATGTTTGTAAAAGTGCACTCAGAAGCGGAGCCCTACCTGCCCTGTTCTATATCTCCCTCTGTGACTTTCAAAAACTCCCTTCTGCAGAGGTACCGACAAGCTGTGGTTCTCAGAGAAATTAAAGGAGAAGAAGCCTTGTAAAGTATGCCTGAACAGCTGTTTTATAACCTAGCTGCTGCTGCTTTCTCTCCTCCCTCACTTACTCATCTATGTCATGAAATTCACTTACATACCATGTAGAAGCAAGGCTCTTTACATCAGGACTCTTTACAAGTTCTCTCTGAAATGCCTGACACACTTCTGATTGCTACAAAATAGATAAGAAAAATGAAGGCTAAGACCAAATATGCATTATAACATGCTTGTAATGTATTACAGCTAAACTTCACAGCTTTCTTGCATAAGGAGTGAGCCAGTGGGATATGTATGAGTACTAGTAACCATTATAGACTTTTATGTATGTATGTTTTACGTCATCTCAGGTAATTAACAGCTGGAGCCAGTTTGCATCCACTAAATGAAAATCGCTTAGAACGATTCACAAATACCATCTTTTCCAAATCTCCCCCACTGTCATACTCTCTATGTGTTCATTTTCATTGCCTCAAATGATTTAGAATACTGCTGTTCTCTCCGTAGCTACAGTACCTGTTAATCTTGCTTGATGTAGCCTGGCGTTCAGCAGAGCGACTCATCACTGTGGAGAAGATATTTAATATCGAATAAATGAATGTGTACACTTGTAGGGGAGAAAGGAATCTGGGTTCTTTCCAAAGCAGTTTTACCTATACTAAGGCATTCAATTTTTCCAGAGGTGCTTAAAGAAATAGGAAAAAAATATGTAGTTTTATATGTCAAATTGCTGCTGCTGCAAAAAATCTTTTAGGCTTTTAAAAGACTAAATACACTTCAAGTTCAGAATATTAGCAAAGCACTTTGGCCTGCTGCATTTTAGAAAAATATTTTCCATTAAAAGTGTTGTGCTATATGAGTGGGAAACATCAAAATCTTAAGTATGTTCTGTTTAGCTTGTTCTATGCCTTGTTAATCTTTTCTAATGTATAAAACCTTGATATACAGTTAAAATTATGATTATTCAAGTATTAAAACTGCTAGATGATTTTCTTTACATCCCTGTTTGCTCTCATTACAAGAATGTTCAGTGAATGTGTCTTCGAGATGACGAAAGCATGACTTGTGCTTGCTCCTCACTAATAATGACGATGATGAGCCAAATTAATCTCTCTTTTAAGATGAGGGAAGTTAGCAAGCCTTAACTCAAAGACTAAACCTTCAACATAAAGGCAAATGACTGTTAACTCAAAAATACCTAAAAGACTTAAAGAAGTTGGATTTGTTTACTAGCTACAGCAAAATGTATAAATGCCAAATCACTTTAAAATGGCTTTAAAGTTTTACTTTTTGGTACAAAGTATCCATCCCTAGCCCCTTTTTTCTCACTTAGTCTGCCAGGAAGCTGTATGGGAAGCCTTTCGTATTTTTCTGGATCGGATTCCTGATACTTCTGAGTATCAGAACTGGGTTACCGCCTGCCAGAGGGAAACTTTCTGCATATTCGACATTGGCAAAAACTTCAGCAATTCCCAAGAGCATCTGGAAATAATCCAACGGGTAAGAACTACTGACATTTGTTTAGAAACTCGGGAAGATTTCCAAGCCCCTCCCTGCCTGTGTATATAAAGGCAAGGTATTGCTCAGGAAGAGGAGGGGGCATGTGTTAGAAGGAAAACATAAAAGTACTGTAAACAAAGGGCTAACAGGCTTCTGTTGTTGGATACATCCACTAGTAAAATGCTGTTTTTCTTAATCTTTTTGCAGCGAGTAAAACATAGAACCTTCCAGGAAAGGTAAGTAAAGCAAAAGTAGAAATCTTGCTGCTTGATGTTACCGCCTTTTTTGAAAGAGTTATGTGTAGATGTGCGTGGATGTGAGTATATACACAGATAGCACTGTGGTGTATTTGGTGTGTGCCGTGAGAGATGCGTATACTGCACATATATTGTAGTACAAAGCAACTGAATCACAAATAATGAAGGTTGCCCAAACGTCTGAGCTGCCTGTCTACTTTGAGAACGTCCTCTTAGACGAACGTAAGCATGAGTCTCCAGCAGAGCCACCACTTGTTAGCCAGCAGAATAGTTTTGATGCTGAGTGTGACAAATGCTTACCCACAGACCATAATTCTCCTCAAAAGGAAAGTCAGAGAGGTGAAGAAAAAGCTAATCTTGGAGGCTGCACTGACCAATAATATGACAACTCTAGATCTTCGTTTCAGCTTTCCCCCGTATTTTTAAAGGTCACGCTAGTGTTAATCAATGTGCTGCTTTATTCTGTAAACATTCTCTTTGAAAAAAAAAAAAAAAAAAAAACAAGAACAAAACTGTGCTTCTCCCAGTCCTCAAAAGTCTGAAAGTTACAAGACTGAACTCTATCTTTCTGCTTGTAAAGATCACAGTACGACCAGACAGATCATTGTCCACAGATGTCAGATTAATGTGTTATTTTTGCTTCAAATTTTCCTAGATTTTCAGATATAGCAAACAACTTTCTCCATTCTTGTGACCTACTCTCTCAGGATCACAGAGGTCTTATGTATCTTTATTGATCACAGCTTGGAGTGTTCTTCTTCCTAAGAAATGCATTTTTAATAATGTAGGGCCTAATTAAACTCTCCCTGAAGTCCAGAGAGAGGTCTTTCCACTCAGTCTAGTGCAAGCAGCAGCAGCAAGGCAGTAAGCGAAGTGATTGTTTTCAAAATTTTTAAGCTCTTTGTGAACAGTACAGCTTTCCCTAGGCACAATTCAGAGGATGAAGTAAGTTATATTCATATTTTAGCTGGAAATTTACGTAGCCATGATTATGCATTGTTGGACTTTGTCATTACTATTGTATTGTTTGGGAAAACAAGTTGTCCTGTATCTTCTGTAGATGTCAGGTAAAGAGGTCAGTCCCACAATTAAAGATGCTACACATCATTACTTGACATTTTGGAAACATTACAAATGGTAATTTAGTTCTAAGCACACAAGATATCTAGAGCAGGAGGAAAGTCAGGTGTTGCCCAGATTCTTTAGATATGTTACTAAACAGCAAGGTTGGTTCTGTATACAAATGCAGCCTAACCCTCTTTTGCTGTGTATATTACGTGAGCTTCATGGTGATAAATGAGAACACCACGCTATGCATTTGCGGTGCCATGAATTCTTTCACTTAGATCAGTCTTCACAAACAGCCCAATCTTATGCATTGCCTTAATAATAGCTATTTCTATAGAAATTTTAATAAATTCTACCCTCATTTATTTCAGTGATGGCGCTTTTTTTATTTTTATGCCGTAATTTTTTTTCCCCTTACAATCCAGATCATCTGAAATCCTTCATCTTAACTTTCAGGAAAGAAAGATCTGAAAATATATAAGGATTTTCTGAGTTATAAGAATCTGAATGTTTCCAAAAGCTATAAATGAATAAAAGTTAGGTTTTACAGCAGAAATTATTCAATAGTCTTATGGAAATCTTTAACACATTTATTATAAAATGTGCATACATACATACACCACCTCTGCTTATCCAGCAAGTTAACATTCTCACTTCCAAAATTCATTCATCAGCACATGTCTGTAAAACTTACAACCGAAATAATAATTAATAGTAATATAAAAACTAATGTTGTGACATAAGGGAGAAAATCTGTGTATCACGCCTACCATACTCTATAAGAGTTCTCAAATAGGGCCCATGGTAGGCATTAGCCCATGAATATTACATCCAGATCCAAATCTAAACATTCCTACAATTCATAATGATCTTGATCCGGAAATCTAATTTGAAACTATCATTAGTCAGAACCGGCCCTACAATATTCTCATGTAGGACTGACAACTGAACAATAAGTCTCCCTGTTATCTCCTCACATCAAACCATGAAATGCCCTGGAAGAATCCAGAGGCTCCAAAATTAAAAGATAAGAAGCTCAAAGGCCTTACTGAACTATCCTAATAGCATGAGGTACTGCAAAGGAGAGAATACTGGATTTAGAAAGTTACAAGAAAGCTTGCTCCCATTTTAGCCAGTGGTCAACTATTTATTAACTTGAAAGAGAGAAAAAGCAAGCCCTGCTGTATATTCTGTGCATTGATAGTACTATTACATTTCATTTGTGTGACCCCAGATGTCTGATTGCTCAGAGAAAATCACTCACGAAACCTCATGAACTGACAGGAGTGATAGTCACACAACTCTTTGGTGGAGGACAGTATCAAATCAGTATTGTTCTCAGTGAAAGAACAAGTACCATGCTGAAGGAAAAGAAGCAAGTATTTTATAAACTGTATAATATAAAACAGGATCTACTGTTTCACTGCCCTATTTAACCAGATTATCAAAATATTTCATTGGAAGTAAGTTCTCTCATTTAAAATACATTTAAAAGAGGAATAACTTCTACATTTTGTTACATCTTTGCCATTGCCAGTAAAGCATTGGTGCTGATCATTAAATCACTCATTTCTATTTGATTGATAGGAAAGATGAAATATCCACAGAGAAAACAGGTGGCAAAAAGCTGGAAGACATTTCTTCCATTTCTACAGGTAAAATCAAAACTGCTTGCTCTGAGTCTGCCCATTAAATAGACTTGCTAAAGCCAGTGACTTGTAGATCTTAGAAGGCTGTAATGTAATGAATGCGATAGAAGCATGACAAGTTCAGTGCAGTAAAATAAAAATGCTTTGACAAAATGATCTATAAAGAGCTCTTTTTAACTTCTCTATAGCATGTCTGCCATACAAATGCAATTCAGGTTTGTTTAACAGTCTTTAAATGCATCTTATGAGCTATGTTTTCTTTGTTTCATGTGCTGAGTAAAGCTAATTTTGCTTCATTGTCAGTTGCTGCATTTTGTTAGCCCAAATAAGCAAACAGATGCAAATAATGAATGACCTATAGCCAGAAAGTCACACTAAAGCCAAGACATTAATTTGAGTTGATTATTCAGTTTAGATATATCAATACTGTTGTATTCCACAGTTCTTTAAAATAATGCAATAAAATTATGCAGTGATAAGAACCTGTAAATATGACTAGTTTGGTTCAATGAGGAAACAACCTGCCTACATATTTTTAAGGGCTGAACATGACAGAACCGTACTGACAGTGACTTCCAGCATGGTGTATTTGCCTCCAGCTGGAAAATTTGCCGTCTTCCTCAAAGCCCCTTGTTACTTTAAATGGAAGCCCTAAAGAAGGGTGTCCATCATAGAGACAAACATCTCAGCTGGCAACATCGAACAGACACATTCAGTTATATGTGCTGCAGAGTAACTGGAAATGCTCATGTATAATATTTAATTCACGTAACTTCACTCACACAGAGAGGGTTGCATTTTGCTTTCAGTCACAAACATGCAACTCTACTGATGTTTTGACCATGAAAGGAAGGCCGCATAAGAAGTAGCGGCTCTACTCGTGCCATAAGTCGTCTAATGGCACAGACGTGCACCCAAACACACCCTCCTTAAGGAAAGCTTCTCCTGCAAGCTGACAGCTGAGCAACAGGAAAAGGGAAGATTTTCCTCTGTCTTTGACGCGCATCCCCACTCTTACTTGATTTTATCTTAAACTCTCCCAGGTTCCCCCAGCGCACCCCTGTCTCCATACGCACCGGTGCCTAATGGTACGCTGCTCAACGAAATCGTCAACGACACAAAGACTCCTGTGAAGGTGAGGACAGCCTATATTGGCCTGCCACCAGTCGCTCACTTCTGGTTTTCGACCTCGGAAAAGAGGAGGGTGGGGGAAGCCTTACAAACTCTGCAGCTCACAGCCATTAGCACTCCGCTCTGTTACTGCGCATAGGATCCAAGGGTTTTAATTAGCATCTGCTCTACACTGGAATCATCAGTAATGTTTCTGGTAACTTTAGTCTTCATTAAACGCATACCTTTTGAGCTTCCCGCAACACAGCGGAGAGGACCAGACCTTACCTCCTTCCTGTCTAATCAGCCAGCCCCAAAGGTGGGATCTCCACCAGTCTCCTCAGGCAGCAGGGCCCTGGGGGCTACCCCTTCTCCGTGCAGGTTTACTGCTTCCAGGTGTCATCAGTTATGTCTGTTAGTGCTTGAGGAAGGGGCCGTTATTTGCCCGGCCCCGGCTGCTGCACCAGGGGCCTCGCCCCGCCTCAGAGCGGAAGCTTCCAGAAAGCCCTAGGGACAGCACTGGCTGCGCGGCGCCACGCGCCTTCCTCCACAACCCAAAGTTTTCCAAACTGAGAGGATAGCTGAAGGAAGGGCTGGAAGGTGGTCTGCTGTGTCAGCATAAACCAGGGCGCGCTCTCCTTCCCCGTCCACGCACCCCAGGACAGGGCAGAGGGGAGCCGGCGGGCCCTGCCGCCGCCGCTGGGGGAGCCCCAGGCAGGGGAGCCGAGGCCTTGTATTGCCCTTCTCGTTTGTGCGGAGATTTTTCACTTTCTCGAAGCTTGTCCTGCTCAAGCCGATCCTCAGAAAGCTCCCTCTGGGTTTTGTGAAGCCCATGTGTTGTGTCCGGGTACCTACCGCAAGCAAGAGTTTCAAGCCAGCTCAGGTGGACTCGGGGTCTTGCCGTCGCCACCAAGAATTTCAGAGGCGGAAATGCTAGCCAAAAGCACGTCTGTCACGCCACTGGCAAACCACCACTTTTCACAATCTCATCTCTACAAGCCTCTCAGCTCTAGCACAGGGCTGGCACGACCAATTCCAGATAGATATTGTATTGAGTGTCCCAAATAATTATGTTCTCAGGATCTAAAGAAACAGAATCATCTTAATGTACTTGCCTGTACATTATTTACCTGTATCATAGCTGTGGGAGGGGAACAGCAGATACAAATATGAGGAAAAAAATGGGTTTAAGGTCTCTTGTTTGTGAGATGTTTGAGATGGACTAGGAGACTGGCATTAATTCATTCCTCCTTTCCTCCTCTCGTTCTTTCTTGGCCCAGTCCTTGGCAGTCAGCTTCCTAAAGGAATGTCAAAAGTCATATAGCAGCTCGATGTAGAGTATGTATACCTCGATCACGTGTTTTTGTTGTAGAACAGCACAGCACGCCCTTTCTCTGACTGATGAGCCACTGAAAGTTATTTTTTTATGTACAGCACAAGACATATCTGTCTAAAACTGAGGCATCCTAAGTAATGATTTAGCACAGCTGAGGCATGCGGAAAGGATGGATGCAAAAAGTATTCTTTCCTGTTCTACTCATTATTTTATTACATTAACATTTTATCTCTTATCCCCCGTCTCATAATAGGACACATTTCTTGTTCTGCTTTTTCTTGGAAGCTATCAAAACCTCGGTGTTAGGTAAGGGACAGATGACTCTAGCAGCATAGCGCCAACCCACCTGACAGCAGAAGTGGAAACCCCAATTGTGTGGGATTCAAGTTGATGAGCTTGCTGCTCTTTTGGGCCAATTTCTTCTTTACCATTGAGGTGCTTTTGTTGGTAACCAGGCTGTTTGTTAAAAAGCCTGGCTGAGAGTAGAATTGCCCTTGAGCAAGTAAAAATGTCTGAAAAAGTATTCAAAGAACGTGCAATATTTAATTATTACTAATAAGTATAAATGTGCAATATTTCTGCAATGAATGCAGTAAAGGAAAGCTTGTTCTAAGTCCTTTGTATTTTTAACGGGCAAGCATAATAGAAGGCTGAAAGGTTTTATTCAGAAAATACTGAAAGATTTTATTCCGTAATAAAATATTTTGGCAAAGAAATGAAGGCATGATATGTGTTCCCACTAGTAACAAGAGTTACAAAGAAGGACTGAGAGTTTGACAGAAGGCAGGAGTTTCCTATGTAGCCCTTCTGCATCACCCTTCCAGGTACTTGCATTCCAAGACTTAAAATCTGAAGCTCAGCTTTGCTTGTGAATGAGGAGCAGGAGAGTTCTCCTGATCTCGCAACTAACAAAGCATAACATTCTGATGAGTTAGGAAATCTTTGTGAATGGACCCAAAGCGGTTTTCCTTCTTGTGAGCAGCACATAGTAGCCTGTAAATGACGTGTCTTCTGGAGATTAACATTATTGAGGGAAAAACTTAGAAATTGTAGGCCAAAATTGCAAATAGTGTTAGGAAGCAGTAAACAAAAGAATAGTGCTTTTTAATAACAGTAAATTCAACTGCACAGGGAAGGGGTAACACAAGTAGCACCAATTCTACTTTACCAGAAAAAAAGCAAAATAAAATAGAACTGCAAATGTCTGAACATGGAACAGAATCAGACAATCTGGCAGTCTCCTCTGATCAACTAAAGGTGTTCTGAGTGTAGGATAACAACCAGCTTTTAGCATTTTCTTGTCCTTCTCTGATGCCACAAACCTTCCTCCAAAGTAGCAAGTAAAGCTGTATCACTTTAATGGTGGTGGAAACAAGAGAACTTGTTGCAATACTTACTCTACAAGAAATGGCTTGGTTCTCTTTATCACCCTCATTTATGCATATTAAAGGCAACTCTCAAGTCACAGTAATAAAAACTTGTTTATAAAGGCAGAAGAATTAAGTCAACAGATGTGGTTAGAAGTCCTCGCCCTTTGCAGGATAGAGTTCAGGAAGTCATTTTGGGGAAGGGCTTAAAAAGGAGCCCTTCTGCCTGTTAAGTTTTGAAATGTGGGGGAAAAAAATCACTTTTAGTTTTATTTCTCCCCTTTATTTCTTCTCCTTTTTTTTTTTTTTTTTTGCAGGAGCTGGGAACAAATACAGTTCCAGAACTGCCTGTGGAGCAAATGGTCGAATTCAGCGTTACTCTCACTGATCAGGAGTATACAGCTGAGCTCAACGATCCCAACTCCCCACAGTACCGGCAGCTTGCTGCCAAATTTCAGCTACAGGTGAGGAGGCTGACTAAATGCTTTGTACACCTTGACAGACTCATAATAAGAAACAACAGATATATGCTCACAACAGTGTAATGAAGGCACTTTGGCAACTGTCCTTAACTGGGTATCACACTGCAGCGTGTTGGCCTCTTAAAATGCTATTATGCAGGTTTCTAGGGAATTGTCGGTCACTGAGGGACGTTGACAGAAGTCAGTAGCCTCTCTAACATTGCTACCTGTCTGCACTAATTCAAGATGTTATTAGAACTTCAGGCGAGTACGATATAAGGGTTACAAGAATGATTAAAAACAAGATGGCGGTAGAAAGTATAAGCCATTACACTACATAAGGAGGCATTAGGAGTATTATTTATTCAGAGCAGCACAGGGCAGAGGGGTACTGGTCAAAATGATGTACCTTCATAAACTCACAATGGAATGTATCTTTGGATGTTCATAAATCATCATTGTTCCACAGGAATAACATAACTATTGCAATGTGTACTAAAGCCTTGTATTTTTTGTTCAAGAGCACAAAGTTGGGGTACTCTTTCATATTTCATTGCATAGTGCCTGCCATCACTGGGACTTCCACCGTAAAATAGAACTAGAATCTAGATAACTGTCCTCATTTAAACCAGATAATTCTATTATCTCCAGTTTTCTTTCAGGTATAGCTATCTTTTTCCCATGTTTAGGCAATCTGTTCAGCTACCGAGCTAACAAGCCGACATCTTTTTCAATAGCAAAGCCTCAGATAACTGGTGAACAGGGTATTAGCCTCCCTGTAACTTTAGAAACATCATTTGGGCCTAATCAGGGATAATGGACAATACTTTGATGTTGTTTAATTTCTGCAGTAAACCCAATGAGAAATGTAACACAAATGAAAGAAATTGGCTACAGTTATCTGAACTGTTCTTCAAAGGAAGGAGCCATCAGATCTGAAAATGAAGAACAATTTCCAAGTCACTTTGTTGTGCATTACCCTAGTTCCTTCAAGACCTCTAACATCAGTGGTGTTTTTATATAATTAATAATGTTAACGGAATGTTCAATTATTAATTTAATAGATAGCAGTAAATAAGCTAAGGATCCCAAAAGGTTTGCTTAGTAAGTTTTACTAAAGCTACTCATCAGTTTCACAGGTACTCCCTAGTACAAGCTATTTTACTATCCTGGTTCAGTTTCAGCTGTGCATAGAGAAATGATGATGTAAGTGTTGGTAGAGCTGATTGATTGATAAAAAGTGGGTTCCCTGGAGCTTTCCAGGATTATCCACACACAGAACTGCCTGCAGGCTTTGTTTGCTACACGTATAATTTTGTAATTCAGCAACCTGACTTTAGAGTTATTTCACTATTTTTAACAAGTTCCCGTAGCATATATGAGGAACATAAGAGGAAAAAGGATGGAAAGTTTCTTGCTGTTAAACTATTTTCCATTTTCATGAAATTTTTTCTGTCCGCTTTAAAGTGTCCAAAGCTGTTGTGGACATGCAATTTTGAATAGATGTAACCCAATTGTGTAACCCATGAACTGTAACCCAAGACCATGAAATACAGCCAGTGTCCTTCATTGCAAAGCACACTGAAGGGGTGAGGGTGAAGAGGTTGGAATCAGAATGTAAAACTCATCCAACTATATGAACCCGTGCACAAATTCCAACTGTATGAACTCCTGCACAAATTCCAAAAAAAGCTCCTTATGGGGGTTGGCACTGTGGGGTTCCAAGCTCCTGTCAGCTTCTGATTCGTTCTAGGACATGGCAAAAGAGAGGAGTTACAGCAGACATTTACAGTGAAGGGCATGTATATATTACAGATTTATTTAAAAGCGCGTGGAAAATGGAATACGTATTCAGTTGCTTATGCAACTCAGTGAATCGAGTTTCATTTGGCAAAAGTAGGAAATATTAAGCTGCATATATGCAGACAGTTCAAAGAAAGCATTGTTTATTATCATATAAAGTGAACCAGGAATTGACAGAGCCCATACCAACAGTCATCTGGCAGAATATATCTAAAAAACAAATTCAGTGTCATCACCATCAACATCTGTTGCCGTTTTAGGTGCCTGAGGGTATCCAGCTATCTGCACAGGACTTTCAAATATGAGAGCAGCAGCTGAGCAGAAAACTTTGGGGAATCTAGGATACTGCTACTGGCCTATGTTCAGGAAAATAAAGTTTATCCTACTGACACAAATTTTACTGATATTAAGGCCCTTAACCTCTGTTACCTTCAGTATTAATCACCTGAATACTGTTAAAAATCTTCCTGCAGTCTAATCATTAATTCTGCCCCACTTTTACTCACTCAAACCAAGCTCAAAAGTGAAGCAATCACCTTGGTTCCTTTCCTACTTTCCTCTTGTGAGATGGGCAAAGGGAGTATGGATGTACGCCATTTTCTGCCCTTTACATTAGCCTCTCTACTGCTTACTCTGAAGAAAAAGACACCTAGGCAGATGCTGTGTAGCTGATATCTGGAACTGTGATAATAAACTGATCCTGTGCTACTTCACTTAGCTTGTATTAGAGACACAAAGAAAGCTGTGGAAGTTACCTAACAATCTTTTCAACACCTAACAAAGAACATCTTCCGTGTTCTTAGGGGTATGTAACACTCAATCCTTAAGATGCCATTTTAACACAGGGAGAATAAATCTGAAGCTCTCTCAACCATTGGTGGAACCCGGGAAAGAACAAGCATTAAGCAACAACCAGCAAAACATAGCACCTTGGTTTGTTCAATGACTCAAGAAAGGAGGAATGGAAAAAGTAAAAATCTCTGCACGCTAGAAGGCTTTATAGATACTCCTTTCTCACTTTCCTTGGAGTTACAAACCATTTCCAGTACTACTGAAACAGCTATCCTGGTTCTGACTGCCTACCAGTTCTGACAGACTCTCACTTATGAATGATTTTTAAATTTATGCTGCGTTTTTACAGAGTCGTACAGCTAAGAAAGAGGAAAGACCTACACATTGGTTCATATTTTTTAAGTGATATACTGAATTAAAAGGACCTGATTCCTCAAAAGGCCTTTTCAGTTCTTTTCAAGTGCTGACTTCCCTCTATTCCACAGACTTTACTAGCAGATGAAAGGCCTAGAGGATGTGCTGCCTGGTACTTAGCTAGGAATTTAATCAGAGCGGAACTGTACATTTAAAAAAAAAAAACACCTTTCCTCTGACACAGTACAAGTGCATAAAATATTTCATTTGACTTAGCTTTATAAATGTTACTACAATTGGAAAAGATCAGTTTGTGTCTATCAGTCCACTGGATCTCAATACATTGTTAGTGCTAGAGATGCTAATAAAAACACTTATCCTCCAAAGTCTGAAAAATGCATACAAAATTCACATTTTCTGTTCATTATTTGTGCTTTGTATTGGCTTTTCTGTTTAAAAGTTTTAACTGTGCAATTACTTACATTAGAATTAAAAATATACAAAGTGATTGTACAAGACAATTAAAAAATGTTTAATTCATAAATAATTTCACAAGTAATCTAAATCCATCTGCATTTGGTTAACATTTTTAAATAATTAATAATTTACAGTTAAAGTGAATTATAAAGTAATTCATGAACAAAACTTGTGAAAATGAGAAAAACATTTGATTCAATTAATACAATTTCACTTACTCTATTATGAATTAGATTATCACTAATTTAAATAATTATAATACCAAAAAAGCTGTAGTTTGTATTTCATTTTGCCTGTTAACAGGTAATATAGACAGCATATACAAAGCCAAATAACGTGTTTCAGTTGAGCAATGATAATACCACAAAAAGGGCAGTTGACACAGTTTCCTAAAGCTTTTACTGAAATATGAAAAATATGGTCTGGGTAACTAACCTGTGCTTTTGCTTTTTGGCAGCAGATGTTTGCATTGAAATAAATCATTTAGTAGTAGAACTTATATGAATTAATGAGCTTATTTTTTTTGTAGATGCAAAAAATATTTGAGAAACTTCCAGGATTCAAAGAAATCCATGTATTAGGATTTAAGTAAGTAAGAAAATGGGACTCATTTTTCTATTAGCTGCTAGCATTCTCATCTCCCTTCTCTCTTCCAATATCAAGGGACCTATTAGTAGTGGAGCGTGTATTGCTATAAATAGAAATTAGTTCTCTGGGAACAGTACAGAGAAAATATGGAGAGAAGTGCAAACACATCCCAAGTGAGGCTATAAGCCTTTGAATTATTAAGCAGGAGAAGTAGTTCTGGTTCCCCCAAGAAATCAGCAATACTGTTTCAGGTGACTTATTATTGTTTTCAAATAACTTCTTTGCTGGCAGCATTGAAATGAGACATTTGTTAAATGACTTAAGGCAAAGAGGGGTAAGAATAGGAACGGTTTGGGTGGGTACTTTTTTGTGTGTGAATCCTGTGCCCTTTGTAGAGCACAGTGAAGGTGCTTTGGCAAGAGTAGGTTTGAGGAAGATGATAGGATACATTCGCACATGCAAAACTTTTGCAATAGGCTTCTTCCAGGTACTTCAAAACATTCAGATACTTTACTTTTGAATACATTCCTGTTCTGTGTTGCCCTTCTTATATTTTTAACTTCCTCATGTTTGCTGTTAATACAAGCTACTACATATCGTTTCAATAGAGAGTCTACAGTTTTTTCAGAAAATGAGTATTTCGTATGGCTACGATTCCATAGATGAGAGCGTGATATGTGAAAAGTCCAGGGAAAACAAAATTACAAATAGTAATAGAAAACAGAAACTGAAAGGGGAGAAAGAGCAAGAAGAGACATAAATTCATGTGGACTTATGTCACAGCATGAAGAAGATTTAGTTCTTCTATTAATATTCAGTACATATTGAAGAATAATGATATCACAGTATAGTTTTAGATAAGAACTTACTTTTCCCAGCTTTTCTTTCTGTAAAATTACTAGGAAAAGGGAGAGATAAGAACAAAAAGTGAAAGTAAATTGTTTAACATTTTGATAAGACAGTGAAGGGAAGAAAAGCAAAAGCTGCCTACTACAGAACAAGCAGAGAAAGTCTGTGGTGGCACCTTGTAATCACAAATTACGCTAAGTAATCTCCTTCAGTTGTGACTCCAAGAGATCTGGGATCCATTTTTCTTTAGTATCTTGGTCTTAACTCTCAGATGCTAATGAGAAAGCACATTCATCAATGCAAAGACAAAGATTGCTTCTCAGCAGCAAAAGTAGGCGTAGATGTGTTGCTGTCCATTTTGCTACATTTGTTAGCAGAATTTGCCACGAGGCAATGCAGAAGGACAATATTAGAGATGTGCCAGAGAATTCATCAGGGAAATAAAAATAACAGGGTATTATGCAGCATTATATTGCAGAAGGTCGCTGCAGGCGTGTAATCCAGAGGCAGGTCAAGTTACCCCTGTGACTAGGATCTGAGTAGGCACCAAGTATGGTAACAGTAATGGCCACTGCCATCGCAGGTGGTCATTACCACTGTAAAAATATGGAATGGCAATGACAGTACCTCAAATTGCATCATTTGCAGTGGAAATATGAAAGCAAATCTTTCAAGCTATCAAGGAAAAGTAAAATTCCCGTGTTCCTACTCTTGAAGATTCCCATTGTTTGGAAGACAAACAGTGTAATGATGGAGAGTAGGCTGTAATTTTCACACTGAGATAAAGACTAGAGAGGATAGATAGAAAAGAAAATGTCATGATGTTTTTGATGTACGACTTCCTGGTTTGCCAGTATACATGAATCTCTGTTTCTCTTTCTTTTGCAATCCATTATCACACCCTTTCTTCTCTTGATGAAATGAAGACAGAAGAAGGAAAAAGATGGGTAATTTGTCTGCAATTGATAAGATTAATCTCTTTATAAACTAATAAATGTAGATAGATACATCCATAAATGTTTTTTATCTTGATGTGACAAAGTGAATTGATTTGTGTTCTGTCCAGGTACAGGATCTGATACAAAGTGGCAGGGACAGCATTTGGCTTATTCTGAAAGATTCACATAATCAAATTTTGTCAGAATCTCTCTGAAAGGAAAGCGGTTGTCTGAACAACGAAAATTCACATTCAGATGACTAGAGATTTCTGTCAGCCATAAACTTAAAGTAAAAAAAATAGGGAAACCTCATATTTACATTTTCATTTTTGGTCAGCTGTTTCTTAGCTGTGTCCCATATATACTTTCTCTTCAATAAGTATGTAGGATTTGATTTGCTACCTCAATTACCAGGACGGATAAAAGAGCAAAGAGACTGGTTGCTAGTCTGATAAAATGCAGGGAGCTTTTGACTGGTATTACATATAACTGCAGAACCTTTTGTTATTATTGCTTGAAGGTGCTCCTGGGGAATAGTTTTTCTAGCAACTCTCAGAATTTCTCTTTTATCCATATTTTAAAAGGAATAGCTGTCTAGTGCCTTTCCTGGATTTTGGTAATGCCACAAATGTAAATGCATAGCATAAACTAGATAAGATGAAATTGCTCTCTCTCTAGTTATTTGATATTGTAGAAAGCAACAATGCAAATGTTTCACAATATGTTTGTTATTTTTTCAATTTAGTTAAGAGTATTTAGCATTTATGAAAAGTGATGTATTAGTAATTGAGAAGATCCAAGTCTTCTGTTAAACAAGTACATCTAAGCAGAAGCTGTATACACTCAGTTGGACTTGAACAAGCTAACTCCTATTGTGGAAAGTGATCTGCTTCCTGCATTAGTTAATTTTCTCGGCTGTTCTTCAAAAAGAGTGAAAAATTGTCTGAAACGTGATAGAATTTTTAGTTACATGTGATTCTATAAACTGAAGAGTGCTTTACCACTTTTTATAGGTTCCTGCATAATCAATAGGAGATTATGGCTTCTGGAAACTTCCAGCATGCATTTGTGACTGTGTGAACCAATAACCAGTAACTTCACGCTGTTTTATCAGTCCTACAAGTCTCTGAGTAGTCACCTTTAAGTAGATTAGCTTAGGACATTTTTATAATGATGTTCTTCAAAATTGGAATTTTTATTAAAAATTATGCATAGAAGAAAAAAGGCCTAGGTATAGCAAAAGTAATTTGGAGGTGACTGTGTGACTAGAAAGAAGTATATCTTTGTTATTTTTACAGGTGATTATATGTTTGAGCTGCATAGATTGGGGTTTTTTTCTAAATTCAGTCCTCAACCAGTAACTGATTTTGTTGCACTGGGCATTATTGTATCTTCCCATTGCAGATCAAGCAGCACTATAGCACGATATGTGGTAAACTTTGAGAGAGATGGCTCAGAAATCAAAAGCGCAGCAGATGACATCACAACTATTGGCTCTAATAAGGTTGAAAATGAAAAAACTCCACTTTCTCCAAAGGAAGAGAAGGAGATAACAGCAGCTAGACTCACAGTGACAGATCTTCAGCAACTAGTTGCCACAGCACTTCACGAAGACAAGTCCCTGCCGATGGACCTTGGAACACTTCAGTTTACTGATGGTCAGTAGGCAGGCCAGTACAGGCACAGGTCTAAACCTTGCATTGCAAATATGTGCAATTTGAGTAGGGTGGTCTTTGCCTCCCTCACAGATCATCTTCATTTGACATAGCCCGTTCTGCTATACCTCTCATAGCACCCAAAGGATGCTCACATCTAAGTTAAATTTAGTAGCAAAATTGCACCTTATAGTTTTAGAGTCTAACTTCTAATCACATTGGAGGATCTATTTTTAAAGGTGATTTGTTTAGAAAAGCTAGATATTTTGTAGATTCAGTCAAATAAGAGGAGAAGAAATATAGTATGAACATTTACAAAATCATTTTGCTTTGCCAGTATGGACAGTCTCCTATTTTTAATAAGAAAAAACGTGGGGATTTCCTCTAACCTAGATTTAGCTATCTAAAAACTAAGCCTCCCATTGTAGGCAAGCTATCTAATCTTCCTATGGAGTCAGAGGAGAGAGGCAAGCACTTTAAAGAGCATTTAGTTTCAAGCTAAAATGGGTGCTGTGAATCTCATACTGTGAGGGGGCATTTCTTTCTCTGAAGCACAGATGGAGTGTAGATGACAAGCTTAGAGTCGACAGCCAAAGATGAGTAAGAAGAGCCCCAGCAGAAGGTTCAGAGGCTCTACTATGTCAAGTAATCCAGCTCATAAATATCTCCTTTTAGTCCATCAGTTATTTTTTCAAAGCTAGCATAGCCCTAGTTTAGGAGAGCTAGGTTAAAAATTGGGAAAACAATTTAAAAGGTTTATATATATATATATATATGTGTGTGTGTGTATATATATGTATATATTTATCAAAACAATGTTAAAACACTCACCAAGTTTTAGCTATAATATTTCATTTACAAACCGTAGCATTTTCTTCTACCAAAAAATGTATAGATACTAGATTTATATAATATTAGATAATATTTTTGGCATGATTAAAATGTTTAATTTAATAGAGATTAAAAGTACCAAGAAAAAAATTAATGGATGCAGATCATTTTAATAATATCTATTTTTAAGCAACTTTTTTCCCACTAGCTATTTTTGATAACTCGTTTTAGGAAATCAGCTTCCATGCGTGTATGTTTTAAAGAGCTCCTCAGAGAGGGTTAAAGGAGCAACTGGGCATTAAAGCCAAAACTACTGAGAGTAACAGTGGTGTGGGCTCTGGAAAGAAGTTAAAAGAGTTTTAGCATAATGAACAACACTATGTAATGAGTCATCACAGGCCATGTGGATTTCACTGAGTGATTTGTACTTCAGCTAATTTTAATCATTCATTCGGCTATGTGTAGTTTGGCTTTCCGCAGACCTATCCCATTTATACTATATAAGGAGTACAAAAAGTAGTAGATATAAAATTCTTACCTTCCTCACAATTGTCAACTTAAATTGAAATTTATGCCTCTTTCTTCTTAACACTGATTTTTAAAAGTCATCTTTTTGATGGAGAATAATTGTTTTAATACTGTTTTTTACTGAGTTTATAAGTTTTGATCAGTTTTCAATGTGACATCATCTCTGAACTATTCAGTTCTGTGTGTGTGTGTGTGTGTGTGTGTATATAAAAATATAATTATTCTTTGCAGAATCTATTAAACCACCTAGTGATTCTGATAATGATATCCAGTCCATGGTCACTATTCCTCTAGCAGTCCCTGAGCTGGTAAGTTATTTGAAGTTGAGATTTTTATTCATTTTTCCACAAGAAATGAATGTAAACAGTCTAAGATATATACAAATATAAAGAAAAATACTCTAGCGCTAAAATACATATCTACCTTTTTATAAATTCTGCAAAGATAAATATTGTAGTGTTCCACAACAAAAGAAGAGATACTATTGAAAGTATTTATACATGAATAGGCCTGCTTGATTACCTTTGCCGCATCTGATTACAAGGTAAACCCTGTCTCACCAGTAAAATAATACATGTCAATGAGGGAAGAAGAGCAAATGACAGGAATAGCAAAAGTCATCTTTCTCTGACTGATTTTAAAATAACAGGCAATATGTGATTAGCTTCACATGCATATATCAAACATTTTATGCATCACTTGACTTCATGATGGGTTGCTAAATGTGACTAAAGATTATTGGCCTTTCTAGTGATGTAAGTCGGTGCAAATGACTTTGTAAAATCTTTTTCCCTCTGAATCCCTTTTTCAGGAGGACTCTATGAGTGTTGAACTCCCACTAGCTTATCCCAGCCCAGCACCAGTGGACCAAACAGGAGATGTCTTGGTCAATGAATTTGCAACTGAAATCCCTCGGCTGAGTGGAGACATCAGTGCCCCTGAAGACTTTAATAATTTTATTTCATCTGAAACTGCATTCGCTACCAAACCCTCCAGAGAACTATCTCAAGGCAGTTTTGCTCCAGACACAGAAGACACTACTACTGACCAACAAAGTTTCACAGTGCCTTTCAACACTCTGGGTAGCACTCACAGTCCTTCAAAACCACAGGACTCCTATTTGCCTCCTCCAGCAGATGAGTTTACCAGCAATGAATTAATCACTGATGACTTTGAATCTCCAACAGAGCAGGCTATCACGCTGGCAGTTTATACCACAGGTAGCATTACCCCACCGAATTTCCTGCAAGCCAATGATGACAAGAGTGAAGCAGAGAGGAAGAAAGAGCTGACTGGTATAATAGAACCACCTTTCAAGGAAGCTGGCCAAGATGGCCTGCCTGGACAAGGTAAGATGCAAAACATGTTTCTGTTAGGAAAAGTAGGAGAGATTCAGTTGTTACTACACATACACAGTCACAGATAAGTACAGTAAATATTCCTTCAAGTTTTCGCTTTCAGTCATCGCAGAAATATTTCTGGACCATCGAAGGTAGAACATACACTTTGCATTTCTGATGCCCACTTCTAGAAAATCCTTTTGCAATTGACTTAGAGGTTGGCAAAGCAAAAAAGAACACATACCTAAAGATAAGGCAGGATTCGTACAAGGTTTTATGGTAAAATTTCACAAACCCAAAGCAAAAAGACATACCAGAAAAAAATAAAATAAAGGAAATCCCAGGCTAGCACAAACAAGGATAATTCTGGTACTTACTTAAAACATGGGAGGTAAATTACTTTGAATACTACAGACAAGTCTGGATAACGTCCACAAAAGAATCATACAATAATTTACTCCAAGTAAGAAGTACCATGGCTCAGAAAAATTTACAATTCTACAGGTCTGATGAATGTGAAAAACTTTTTTAAAATACTCTTTGCCATGTTTATTTATCCATACTGTAGTTCTTTGCTTTATGGCATGCAGTTGTATATGAAAAAGCACATTATAAGTCAAAAAACCAAATACCTACATAAGTCTGGGTAGAGAAAAGTTTGTATAATCTGAAGTGAAAAGATAGCCATGTTTTACTTAGCTAGCAGAATAGTGTTGACCCTGCAGATGAAAAAAGTCAGCAGAAAAACAGCAGGAAGATATTAAGATTAGCTTTAGGACACAAGCAAATCATGCTTTTCCCTGGAGCAGCAAAATATTGGTAAGGCTGCTGCCTCCATCACTTTCACCAGCAGCCTGGAAAGCTGGGCTGGACGCTGCAGAGAATTATGATGTGGGGGTAACGGGTGTGTGTGAGGCAGCAGCCTCGGATGGCAGAGCAGCCTCTGAGCCATAGCTCCTGATGTTACCCTCCATCTACCCCAAAATTTCCGCCATCACAGAGGAAGCAATATTTCTAGGGATGTCACGCCAGAAATATAGGAGGAAATAAAGCCTTTTGCTATTCTGTTCTACTCGTACATCTCAATCTCACCAGCCTGGATCATCCTCAACCTCTCAAGAAACTCTTTGAGATGGCAAGCCTCTGCAGAGTGTATCACAGTGTTTTTCCCGTAAGAAAAACAAGGGTGAGTGGATGGTGATCACATCCCCGTATGCGTGACTGGTAAAAGCCTCAATCATGAGCTGTATTTTCATAATTGCTGTCATTGACACAGTCTTGCTTTGAGTGGAGCCCTCTGACATCCTCCTCCTACCCGACAATTAATTCGGTTGCACACTCCTCTTCACTCACTGCTATTTCCTAGCAGTCTCTAGAAAAGCTGAATTTTCTGGATGTTTGGGGGATTCTTTCTGCCTCTAGTTCATCTCCAGCTGCCTGAGGGCCATGTGCGCTTTTTATTTGGCATAACCAGCATCGTCATGGAAGAGAAAATCCCACCACTTCTTGCAAGAACTACTCTAGATGTTCCCAGGACTGGAATTCACCCATTCTTTGTGCCAGACATGCCAGCCAGGTGTTTTTTTTTTTGCATCACTGGTTATACAGGGTAAGAACTCTTCTGTTTTCATTGCACATTTTTCTGGTTTCCTTATGTTCCCTTTGACCATAAACTGACAAGCTTCTCTCAATATTCTCCCCCATCAGATTCTCTCTGTACCCTTTCACTCTCCCAGATTGTCACTGGCTGCTTCAGATGTGCTAAGAATGCTTTTCGTGAAGGTGCTGCTTTAGTCCGATGCTCGGAAGAGTGAAAAGGTAGGTCTAGCTGCATAATTTTCTCAAGCATGATATACGAGATTGATTAGCCTAAAAATAATCCTTAAACTGAAGATGAGGTTGAATGCAAAAGTTTCAGCAGACACATGTTAAGATACATTAGGCTTAAGAAAAAGTTCATAGAGCACTGTTGTGCTCAAGTTAGAATTCAGTCCTATATGTATCCTGGAGTCCTAAAGATACTAGACTATGTGAATAGCATGCAGCTAAATGTCGTGATAGCCTCCTGTTCAACCATCTCCATGCTGGACATGGCAGAAACAACCTAAATAGAACAAAACTTGCATCAGATCCTCGAAACATACTTAAAAATGCTAAATTGAAATGAATAATCTGCGCAAAAAGGGATGACAGAAACAGAGTGCTATTTTCCCAGTTTAACACATCACTTGCCCAAATTATCCAGTTTCTCCAGTTCATGTTTATTTTAACTTAAGGTTAAGCTTTCGTTCCTTCAAATAGGATTTCTTATTCATGCCCCCCAAATATGCAGTATAAATGCACTTTAACAAAAGCAAGTGAAACTATGCAATTTATATACAACTGGTGATTCCATTAACTCAGTGACATTACTGTGTAAAGTACAGAAAACAATTTATATATCTGTTGAGAAAATTTGCCTGTCCAGAGGCAAAATTCCTGAGCCACTTGTACAATGAAAAAGCACAACCCTTTGTTCTCCACCTACATGCAGGGAGATGCACCCCCATTCTCTGCCACATCTTCATTTATACTTTTTTGTCTAACTTCCTTCCACAGACATTGCTCTCTCACAGTTTCCACATGTGCTCACCTGAACCACATTGTTCATCTCCCACGCTCATAGTTGGAGTCTGTCTCACACAGTCATCCTTGTGCAGCACTAGTCAACCTCATTACTCAGCTCCCGTAGCTAATTTTCATTCACCTCGCGTGTGCCCTTTTTGTCTCTCAAAACTAACCTTACCTCAGTACTACTGTTCCCCAAATGCTATCATTACTCCTATAATCAGCATTTCCCTCCTGGCTGCCCCCTTCCATGTTAGTGCTATTTTACTCCAAAGTAATCTTCTTCCCTCCAAATTCACCATAATATTGTTGCCTAAAAATGATCCCACTAGCCAAAACTCAAGGTTTTCACTGATTACAGGTAACCTTCTGCTATGACTGAGATGTCCTGTATGTAATGCAGACTTTGGCAAACTCAGTCTCAGAGCCTGTCTTGTGTTAAAACCAATATACGATAACCTTTCTGTCTGTATGCAGGCATGAGATTTGAGGCAGAAAAAAATACTAATATTTTCCCACCTGCTCCCTAAGCTGACAGCAGCAGCCACAAAGGCTACAGAGAGTCAGAGGAGAGAAGGGAGGGAGTACCCGCTGCGTGAAAATGATTTTAAAAATCTGACAAACCTACAATGCCCCCATAGTCCTTTACCTTCTTTGTTACAGTGTGCATAGAGGCTTTCCCTCCTGAAGGGCTATGTGGCTGCTGCTGCTATGACTCAGCTTGTGGTAGCTGAATCTTTGATTGCATTCTGTTCCAGTTAATGAATTTTTTTTTTTTGAAAGGAAAGGGATAAAAACTTCTTTGAGGAAGTTTACATTCTTCAGGCACTGATTGCATTAGTTCTAATCCTCTAATAAAAAAGGAATATAGAAAAAGGCAGAAATAAGTTCAGAAGTTTAAAGGCCAGCATCACAAATAACTTCAAGATATTAACATCCTGAAAAATTTATTTAAAAACTTGCTACCAATGCAGTAATAAAATAAGAAAAATGTTTTCAAGGAAATGATAAAGACTTTTAGGCTGAGAATGTAAAATTACCCTTTACCAGGTTATAAATATGTGAACCTACTGAAGTTTACACATCATATAGTCCTATATTAACAAATATCAGCCCAAGTCGCACTGCTGAGGCTAACGTGCCCTCAATAATACAGTTCCCTCACTCAATAAAAATCCTTGATTTTGCTAGAAATGCTGGCTTCAAGAAATAATGTATTAGGATCAAATGGTACTAAAATTTTGATTTTCTAAAATTACTACAGCTGTTTCTTTGGAGGATTCAGTATCCTTTCAGTGTAAGAAGGTATATTTTAAGCTCAGCCTGGCATTTTAGCAGTGAATTCCTTGTTAGGGGGTAACTCATGCTATCTGTACTAGAATATTTTAGGCATGTAACTTGTGTACTGTGAATCACATCTCTGGATCTACTAGCTATGGAGAGAGCTTGAGCTTCCAACTTTGGTTTGGTCAGCCATACCTGAGATGCCTATCACAGATGGCATTGATGCTTATATCAACGTTAAGCTGCTTATTCTTCAGTCTGAAATATGTCAAAACATTTGAAACAAAAAAGAACTTAAAAAATCCTAAATGAAGCCAAATTTAAGAAAAGATTTATACTAAGTTTCTTGATTTTTGCATCTGTGAAACTCTAGAATGTGTGAAACTACTAGTTTTCTAGGAGTTTTCATGTATTTGCGTATTGGAATTTTTGTATGGCTTTTTTTTTTTTTAAATTGGTTCTGACTTCTGCTTGAAGTTACCGTGCATTTTTTCCATTAAGTTCTTAACACTGCTTTTTCAATACAACTCTGTAGAAAGGTATATAGGGCAAAAGATTAAACAGCATTTCAAGCAAGGATACCCATGGTCTAAATGGAAAGAGGGCTTTCGCTTTCTAATGGTGTGGTCATTCACTCTGTATGGTGGGGTTTAGAGTTTTTTTTTTTTTTCTTAGCAGGTAGAAGTTTCATTTTCATTCTGAAGAGTGATAAGATCATTATGTGTGTCAGTAAGCACTTGATTAAACCAAGCCTGGATGCAAAAGAATTAGGTTCTTGTTCATTTTATTATATTCATATGTTTATGTTTCTTTTTAGTTCTTCCCCAGTTGATGGAAATGTGTTTTTTTTAATTCAAAAATATTGTTATTGTACAATAGTGGTGCAAATAACAGATAACTAAGTGTACTGTCAAAAATTTTACTTTTTATATATGGCCAGGCATTCGTTTAGTAACCATACTTTTTGCCATGCAATTTGTACTGACAGCAGATATCAAGCAGAGTTGGAGAGCATTGTGGGCATAGCAAAACCTGCCAGCAAAGGAGTTAACTGCGAAAACAAATAGTATCAGTGACCTCATTAGTGACCTTCCCAATAAAAATGTACAGTATCTTCA